ATTACTTCGTATGTGAAGCATAAGGGGTGTGCGGCGCCTCTGTACTGGGCTATATCGCAACGCAGCTCCAATGAGTCTTGCCCGCTGTGCGCGGCCCGGCCGGATTTACTTTTGTTGTATCCGGCATGACGATTATCGTCTCGCATAGTGGCGCGCCCTCGTGATCCGTAGATCGATCTTGCATATTTTGCTTTGTCCTCCAATACGTCTCGCAGGTCTGGCGTATTTCCCCATGCCTTTTTATTTGAATGGCGTTGGGGTGCAGGCTGAGCTTTTGGCTGGAATGCCTCTCTGTCGCGGCCACGGGGTGGCCGATCAGCAGCATCATACGCTTCTTCCTCCAGTCGGGGTAGCAACCTGCATTTTGGGTAACTCTTGGAGGGGTGTTCGAGTTTATATTCCTCGGCCGCGAGGACTTCAGTCCATTTGTCAGTTAGCAGATCTTGATCAACTTGAAGCTGTCGCTGCTTTTTCTTAAGGCTATTTGCCGTGGCTATAAGACGGTGCTTGAAGCACTCTTGTTTGATGGGATCCTCTGGCACGACGAATTCGTCATCGTCGAGGCTTGCCTCGTCTTCGGAGGGAGGCATGTAATTGTCATCCTCCTCCTTTGTCGCTCTCTCAGGAGGGCTGGCCTCTCCATCCTCCTGTCCTAAATCGTGCTGGAGGGGGTTATTGCCATCTTCGGCCATATCCGGAGTGCTATTATCTCCTGTGCCGGTATCACCGCTTTTGATTTGGCAGGACTTAGAGCGGCGCCGCTGACGTCGGCGCTTGGGTTGCTTCTTGGAGGGGTCATCCTCCGTTGTCTCGTCGCCATTGCCTTCTTTGAGTGTGTCCACCATGTATATATCGTATGATGAGGTGGCTGTCCAGTGCCCTGTGGGCAGTGGTTCCTCTTCGTCTCCCGCATCGTCGTCCATACCCTCGATGTCTTCGGAGTAGAAGTCGAGCATGTCGGTTAAGTCGTCGACAGTGGCTACTAAGTGGGTGGTGGGTGGGCGTCGAATTTCTTTGTCGTCTGCATCCCAATCCTGCCGGTCATAATCCGGCCAGGACTCTCCTGGCAAAGAGAGAGACTTTAGTGAATTCAGTATGTCGCCGAAGGGCGAGTGCTGAAAGATATCTGTGGGAGTGAACTCCATGATCGGCGCCCAATCGGATTCGATTGGCAGGGGCGCGGATGGTTCAGAGTTCGGAGGAGAGTCCGGCAATGTGGAGTCATGGTTCTCTCGAAGGATAAGGTTGGTGTTTGGCTCGATCGCCGTTGAGGCTGCAGCCTCCGCGGTGGGGTCTAGCCACCCGCCCTCGGTTGGCGCAGTTGGCTCCGAATTAAAGGTCGGAGAGGATGCGGGTGCGGCCTCCAGGACACTGTTCGGCGGCAGAGCTAAATCATGCCCATCATGACAGTGTGGCGCACTCGGCAGGGGCTCGAATCCGTCGAAGATCAAGTCTCCACGGATATCGACCGTGTAGTTTAAGCTTCCAAACCTGACCTGATGGCCAGGCGCGTAACTTTCAATCTGCTCCAGATGGCCAAGCGAATTGGCCCGTAGTGCAAAGCCGTCGAATACAAAAATCTGTCCGGGGAGAAAAGTCTCACCCTGGACTGCATCGCTAACAATGATCGAAGGAGCCATCAAGCCTGATGATGACGACACAGAGGAACTCTCAATGAAAGCACCAATGTCGGTGTCAAAACCGGCGGATCTCGGGTAGGGGGTCCCGAACTGCGCGTCTAGGCGGATGGTAACAGGAGGCAGGGGACACGATGTTTTACCCAGGTTCGGGCCCTCTTGATGGAGGTAAAACCCTATATCATGCTTGATTTATTCTTTATGATATGGGTATTACAAGAGTTGATCTACCGCGAGATCGGAGAGGCTAAACCCTAGAAGCTAGCCTATGGTATGATTGTATGTTGTCCTACGGACTAAACCCCCCGGTTTATATAGACACCGGATAGGGCTAGGGTTACACAAGGTCGGTTACAAAGGAGAAGATATCCATATCCATACTGCCTAGCTTGCCTTCCACGCCAAGTAGAATCCCATCCGGACACGAGACGAAGTCTTCAATCTTGTATCTTCATAGTCCAACAGTCCGGCCAAAGGATATAGTCCGGCTGTCCGGAAACCCCCTAATCCAGGACTCCCTCAATCTCCAACAGTCACGCAACGCGCCGCGCGCTAAAAACTCATTTGCCGCGCGCCCTTCGCCTGGTTTGGTGCGGCCGGCAGCGCTGGCTCCAGCAGCCATGCTAAAATTGAGAGCGCGCGCGTAGCTCCAGCGACCGTGCTAAAGTGCAGCGCGTGCTAAACATTGCGTACATTTTTTTAAACGATAAATAAAATTCATAGATAAAAATGATACATAGATATTTTACATAGTTCCATAGCATAAATAGATTAAAAAACTACGGTGCAACGACATAAAAAACTACTAGATAGTGCAAGTACATAGTGCAACTACAGCCTACTCCCAGTCGTCATCATCATCATCATTGTCGTCATCCTCGCTGGTTTGGTCCGAGGTATCGAGCCACATGTCCTCCCAACGGTCGTCATCAGACGAAAAGATTGTGTGCCCACCATTTTCAGCGATTTCACACTGCGATAACGTCAGGGCCTTCCGCCGACGTCTTTCCAACCGCCTCGCGCGGCGCTTTGCCGTCTGCTCCTCGCGACGCCTTGCCCGGAAGGCTTCCTCGTTGGCGACATCCTCCGGGTGTCGCCGACGCCACTCCGCCATGGCCCGATCGTCCTCCTCGGCGATGAGGAGGCGGTGCTGCCACCGAGCATGCTCCGCACGGTCCTGGTCCGTGATAAGATGAGGCGGAGGGGCGACGTCATGCGCCTGCTGGCGCGTGTGGACATCCTGGAAGTTCATCTGCTGGTGCGGCCTGTCCAGGCGTCATGCCGCCGCATCGTAGGCGCGTGCGGCCTCGTATGAGGTCTGGAACGTACCGAGGCCGGGCCGGACGTCGCCGGACCGAATCTCGGCGGAGTACCAGCCGTTGGGGCGCTGGCGGACGCCGCGGTAGCCCGACGCTCCTCGGCGGCACGGCGGCATGGTGGCGCGGCGGTGGCGGGGCGCTGGAGCGGCGAGGAGAGGAAGCGGTGGAGGCGCTGGAGCGGCGAAGAAGCTACGAGGCGCGCGTGGCAGTGTGGATAGGCGCGTGGCGAGCGCCGCAATTTATAGGCACGCCGGAAGCGGCGCGCCAAAAGTAGCGTGCGAGCTGCCGCCCTTTCCCGCGCACGCTTGTTTCCAGCCACCGCTGGAGCGCCCGAAATCGTCCCCCGCGCGCTAAAAACCTAGTTCACCACTCGCGCGGCTTTTGGCGCGGCTGCTGGAGATGCTCTAAGGGACTACTACTTGTGTTATCCTGCAATTCTCACAAACACATTAGTCCCTCAACCAAGTTCGTTGTCAATACTTCAAAACCAACTAGGGGTGACACTAGATGCACTTACAGCTCCTCCTTCCTTACCCTCTCTCCATGTAGGCCTTCGTGCCCCTATCTCCTTGTCGTCATGAATTGCTCCTCGCGGGGCGCTGATGTTAGTTGTCGTTGTTGTTTTAGCCGAGCGAAGTGGGTGTGGTGTGCGTCGCGTTGCGTGCACTGCGTATCGCGTTCGACCGGGTGCCCATGGGTCAGGTGTGGCACAGTACGTTCAGGTGTTCTTAGCCTGGTGCGACCTGATGCGATGCAAATAGACGAGGAGAAAAGCCATGGGTGCTAAACTAAATCACCTACGTGCAGTTAGCGCAAAAAACAAGAGAAAATTTTAAGGGCGCTGCTACAAATCAGTCGGTTGATCTTACAAAAAGATCAACCGCGTGACTAGTCGTGCGATGTAGTGCGCGTGGCCGTTCAATCTCGCGGCAGCCCAGCATGCTATGTCTTCCTCCTCTGGCTGGCAGTGCACGTATTCCTCCTTACTCGTCGAAGCAGTAGCCCTAATATCGGCGCCCGCCGCCGGAGTATCGATTCTCGGTCACAACGATGCCCCATTGAAGCACCTCCGCGGTCCAGCGGTGCTCCATTGAAGCACCTCCGCGCTTCAGCGATGCTCCATTGAAACACCGACGACTTGATGATGTTTTGTTGCGACACCGGTGGCCCACGGTGATGCTCCACTGAAGCACCAACAACTCAGATGATGCTTCGTCGCAACACCGATTTCCCGGTAACGCTCCATTGAAGCACCGACGTTGCAGCACCGTCGCCGGCGAGCATCGACATGGATGTTGCGTTGCAGCACCGTTGCCGGTGAGCAGCACCATGGAAGCTGCGTTGCAGTACCGTCGCCGCCGAGCAACACCATGGATTCCCCCTTGCAGTATAGTCGTCAATTCTCCCCCAATCTTAGCCATGGATGTTGCATTGCGATGCAGTGTCTCCGCAGCGCCGGCGGTGGTCGATCCCACGAAGAAGAGGAAGGCCAGGCATGGTTCTGGTTCTGGTTGCGCAGTAGTCGCCGACGGCCGCGCTGCATCTCGTACAGATAAAAGAGAAACGGGATGAGTTCGATTTGGAAGAAGAGGATAGGGGAGGCGTCGCGGGACCACGAGGCGACGTGGCGTGCAAGCGACCCGACTGATTTTCCAGAGAAATCAGTTGGTTGAATCCAAACGTTTTCCAAATTTTAGTGGGGTATTTTGTGACATGAAATTAATCAAATTGGGTGAAAGTATGAAAAAACTGCCAAATGGGATAAATACCGTGTGAAACTAGGGGTAGAAAAAAAGTGGAATTGGGTGAAAAACGAAATATGTGCCGAGGGAACGGCCGTGGCGCCGTATGCCGATTCCAAAAAAAGAGAATGAAATCACTCCATCCCGGGTTTTCACGGCTTTATTAACCTCCTCCTCCTCTGCTTCCCCGCCGAAACCAAAAAACCCTCGTTCCCCACTCTGGACTGCCCTCCTCCTCCCTCGGCGGTTTGTTCATCGCCTCTGCCGAAAAATCAAACCCAAAACCAAGAAAGGGGGCGAAAATGGCTGAGGCGAACTCGTACGAGGAGCAGCGCAGGAGGCAGGTGGAGGAGAACAAGCGGAAGCTGGAGGAGCTGCGCCTGCACCACCTCTCCGCCGCCGTCCGCGAGGCCGCCGTCAAGCCCAAGCTGGTCCGTCAGATCCGCACCACCCCTCCGCCGTTCCTCTGCTCCTGTCTGTCTTCCTTTGTTGAGTGGTCTCGTTTGGCTGGTGTCGCAGAAGAGGAAGGCCCCGAAGCCGCGGGACGCCGCCGATGACGCCCCGCCCCGGCGTTCCGGCCGTATCGCCACCCTCCCCGAGCAGCCCGACTATCGCGACAATGTACGTGCTCCGCAACTAAGGGTCCCGTAGCCGAATTAGTTCAAAATAAGATCTAATACTCCCGCCGTTTCTTTTTAACCCTAAGTCAAGTCAAACTTATGGAGTTTGACTAGTAATAAGTATATAGTAAAAGAAATCAACAGTCACAACACCAAATCAATATCATTAGATCCATCAGGAAATACATTTTCATTTTGTATTTTATTTAGTAGTATAGTAGATGTTGATGTTTTTTTAGTATTAAATTTGGTCATATACTTTGTAAATTTTGATTTGACTTAACACAAAACTAATATGTGAAGTAAAAAAGAAAGGATGGGGTATGTTGTAACTGATGAAGACCTGGAATAAACCCGCAAATCTCACTAAATTTCCACTTAAGGCACTCCACCACTCAAGAGGTGGTTCTCCCAAGGATCCCATTTTGTTTTCCTAACGAATATAAGAATTATTCTCATGTAAAGCTGGGCACCGGGAAACCACGGCAGCAGAAGGAAGTAAAGCCTGATCATGCGTACGCCATCGCCAAGGCCGAAGAGCTACAGGATGAGCTAGGCTCCGACTACCCGACCTTTGTCAAACCCATGCCACAGTCTCTTACCTCGCTGGTAAAGCAGAAACTACCACTAATCTACTGTACTGAGAGAGGATTGATTGTTAGATATTGATATGGTGGCGTATCTGGCAGCATATCCCGGCACAGTTCAGCATGGAGCATCTCCCGGACAATGGCATGAGAATGGTTTTGGTGGATGAGGAGGAGGAGGAGTTTAAGGTGAGCTATCGTCCACACAGTAGCAGTCTTGTCGCCGGGTGGAGCGAGTTTGCCATCGACAATGAGCTAGTTGAAGGTGATTGCTTGGTGTTCCAGCTGATCAAGAGGGCATTGTTCAAGGTGAGATTCTTAGCTGGTCTTCTATGGTATTGAATTTCTGTGGTTGTTTGAGATGCCGCGTCATGATTCTTAAGAAGTTCTGAAATGTGAAATCTGCTTGGGGGTTTATGGTATTTTTCTTTATTTCCCAAGCACGTATCTAGATGCGCATCATTTTCATAAGATGAAGGCACCGAAAAGGCGCAAGTCCTTTTCGAGAAAACGCAAAGCTTGTGTATCATGTATTGAAAAGATAGAAAAAAAATTACAAACCCAAAGATGAGGTCAGATACAATACAACACATTACACAGAGCAACACAGCATGCAAGGCTCAGTGGACATCCCAAGCCCCAGGTAAACACACCCTGAGCCCTGCAGCACCTGCACACACCCAAAGCTTCGCCTCCTTGATCTGACTCAGTCTAACTGACAAAAAAAAATGGCAACCTACAAAACAAAACAAGAACTCGAAAAAGAAAGAGCAAAAAACTGTAGGGATACTCTACACTGCCTAGATCAAACATGAAGGGGGCGGGCCTGTAGAGGCAGCTCTCACAGGTGTTCGTGCTGCGAAGCATCCAGAGTTTGGCCTTGATGTTGGGGACTGCTATTGGTAGTACTTTTCATGTTATGGTTGCATATAATTGCAATTTAGATGGTGAAACATGTCATTGATGGATAATCGTGATGATCCTTGGTGCAACTGACACGGGCAAATCCTTCTAGTAATGATGTGAAGTCTCTAAAATATCACATGGGAAAACTGGTCCACCCATATCTACTTACACAAATAATTGTAACTAGGAAACTATGTCTCGTTATTCACAACACAAAGTATGAGAACGGAGCTGTTTCAAATGCTTGGTTGTACATGAAATTTGCAAGGAACATATGATTTCTTCAACATCCATGTTAAAAGTCCTCCATCCCAAGCAGATATAGGAAAGGGTTCTAAGTTCTAAATATCAGGTTTTGCCTCTTGAGCCTGCCTTCCATTGACCTTCCATTACCTGGAGGATCCTTTTTTGTAAGGCATTACTGTGGTAAAAGTCTATCTATGCTGCTAACTATGCAACCTCTGTTATGTATTTTTCTTTTGCAGGTCTACATATTCAGGGCAAGTTCGTACTATGAAAATGAGCATTAATGGAGCAGCCGGCAGGTACAGGGTTCTTATCAATGGTCTCCATTGGTTGAAGTCCCGAATTCGATGTTTAACAAAAACGAGTCCCTTTATTTTTTTCTGTGTAATGTATGGGCCAAGTTCACTTAACAGGTAAACTTATAAAACTGCTTATGAGTTATTACCAAACTGAACTGTGATGAAGGAAACACAGTTCAGTTTGGTAATAACTGAGCAGTATCGTAGATTCGTGGAGATGGAAAATAACTGCACTTTCTCTCATTTCCCCTTTGGTTTCGGATTGCTGATCAGCCCAATTTCAAGCTTATTTTGTTACTTTCTGCTTCTTTTTTTGCTGAAATACGTTCTGCTAACTTTGTGAAATCGGAGCATCGCATTTCATTCAGAGAAAGTTAACCTCTTTAGGAGAATATGCTTCTTTGCGGCCAAAAGTCTGTTGACATTTATAGGAATATACTGAATCGCGGCACTGATAGATTTGTGTGTAGCAACACATTTTATTGGATTAGATGCTCCATGCAGGATTCTGCTGGGCCCTTCCTGAGACATCAGTACTTAAACTTTGCACTCATTTTTTCTGGATAAATTTGTAGTCTGGCACTCATATTCCTTGTATGTTTAGTTCACTTTTGCACACATGTAGACGTTAATTTGTTTCCCTTGTATCAACCTAAAAGGCTGATGTTGGAAAAACTAGTGCACTACTAGCTTCCCATATCATCTAAGCTGTGTTCTGTTGTTTAAAACAAAGATTTTATTGATCTCTTGACCTCTTCATGAGTGAATGCACGCAACAAATTGTTTGAGTGTGACCTTGATGTCCGCGGTCAAACCGTTTCAGCTTACTATATTTATTACATGCCCTGTTGCTTATCTGTTGATATTGGCTCTTTTAGTGATTCAGATCTACCCTCAACTGAAACCCCAACAAGTTTGCAAATGGCTAATGTTCTGAATTCTAACTCTGCAGGCTCCTGGTTGCTTCATGTCAACTTGTGTTGAACTAGCACAGTTCAGAAATCTGCACTATCTCAGCGGTTAGTTATGTATGTATGGCTACTGTCAGGCATTATTAGAATCTCTCGTGTGATTGCAAGTCGTATGGTAACTGTCGGCATCTTGTAAAGTTTGTCATGCGACGGCAAGTGTGAAACTTGACATGTGATACCCATCATGGTTGATATCCTATTGATTCGTTATGTGGACGAACAATTTACCGCGCGTGACTTCCCGCCTCATTGTTGCATCATTGTCTTCTGGTTACTGTTATACTCGCGGGTGTCCAAATGTGTAAGGTTTTATGCCGGTTTGCGGGTAAAACCACTTGATCCAAGGGTGAATATATAAGGTTTTTATGGGTTAGGAGACTTAGTTATAGAGCTGAAGGACGGAACAAGATCGCCGCAATGTGGACTATATAGGAGACCAAACAAACCTTCACATGTTATAATTTTGCTGAAGGGACCAAATGTATATGGTTTTAGGTACTCTTTGATTCAAAGGAATCTTAAAGGATTCCGGTCGTTGGGATTTTTTTTTTCCTATTTGGGTTGTTTGATTCATACTATTCATTTCTACTAGTTTTCATAGGAAAAGTTCCATCCACTTCAGCCTAATGTGAAAAATCCTCTGCTTTTCTATTAATGTGCTTTATTTACAAATCGTGTGAATCAAAGAGGCGTCCTTACAAGCGTGGAGACCAAGTTCCAACAGCGAGGGGCCAACATCATTATTATTATCATTATTATTCCTGGTAAACATATGTGGCTACAAGTATTTCACACCCGTTTCCAAGGAAAAGACAGGTTCTCCCTCAGAAAAAATTATAGTGAAAAGCATCTGCGGCTGCGGTTCTTCTATGGCCCGAGGACCATATAGAACTCCATCGTCCATCGTCACACTCACTCGGTGGCCACGTCCACCAGCACCACCACGCACGCACTGCCCATGACACTGAAAATGAAGGCCGACGCGGCACCCAACAGGAGATGATCCTCTACTCATGTCTCCATTCAGAAGAAGCTTTATGCATGCGAACTACTCATTCTGTCACTCTCACATGAACTCTGCGGCTCATGCTCTCTCCATCTCCATCTCCATCCCCATCACACGCAAATGGATATAACCAGATCAAAGCACATCGACGCGTAAACAAATGCCGGGACGAAAGCGAGTCTGATCATCACTAGTAAGAAATGGTACACACGTGACGCTCGCGATTCCACGGCCGAGAGCCTCCGGCAAATCACCATACCCATGAGCCATATACTCCTCATAATATAGGCTGTGACGCACGCCGGTCACGAGTGGATTCCTACACTACATAGTTTAAACGGCAGTGCCACATCGCTGATGCATGATGGCTACCCAATCGTCCGCTGGCTTGGTCGGCGGCGCCCAAGCTGAACCAAACCAAAGTAAAGTATATGTGCTTTTAAAGGAAAGTTGGCTGGGGTAAGCTGGCCGGTCCGATCCTATCCGACGCCAACTCCGCCAGTATGATTATGAACGATCAATAATCGGAGCGGTCGCCGTCCCCTCGCGTAGGAGGGCACTTTGACGAGCAAAGAAAGAGAGAAGCTAGCTGGAGAAGGCAGGAACTGGCCGGTGGTGCCCAATAATTTGGGGCTCGGCTCCGTGGTGCTTCCATCATCGGATGGCACCCAACCACCTTCCAGAGACCGGATAAAGCCCATCCTCGTCATGTGTTGTGTTGCGGCCCTTGTGGCTGGGTGGTGATGATCCTTGTTGTATAAATAGAGGGGCCTAGCTAGGCGAAATGGCATCCACTGCTGATCTGCGTAGCGTGTGCAGCTCCTGCTCTGTCTTCCACTCTTCCGTTCATCGTCTAGGTACATGTGCATGCCATTGCCAGGTTGCTTACTGGCCGTCTGGCCGGGTTCTTGTTTCTGCAATTCTGCTCTGTCTTTCTTGCTAGCTTGTTTGGCCACCGGCATGCTGATGCTAGCTCGATAATCTGGTTCGCCCCCGTTGTTTTATCTGCATCATTTCGCGAGTTCATAACCTCTGTCGGGGCAAGCTCTGTTCTTCGTTATGGTCATGCCTGTCTGGGCCTGATTCAACTGATACAAAGAAAAATACACCGACGGTTGCTACAACAGTTGTGAAGAAAAAAGAAAACACGATTTCCCTTTGCTAACGATTTTCTTTCGCCGCGGTTGCAGGCACTGTCCAGCCTGAGAAGATGGAGTCCTACGCCAACGGGGCCAAATTTGATTGCCTGCTGTTTGGTACGTCTACCTATAACTGACGGCTCTTCATTGCACTATATTTGGATCATGGAGTTCTCTGCCAGCACTTTGTTTCTGAGCTCTTCTTTGATTGTTTCTCGACGTGTTCAGACATGGATGACACCCTCTACCCACTGAGCTTAGGAATCAACTTAGCCTGCCGCAAGAACATCCAAGGTAGGTCGTACTACTAATAAACTTGCACCAATCCTCTGTTTTCATGCTACAGAATTCGTGTGCTCATATACTTGTAGTATCTACCAAATCGCAGACTACATGCTGAACAAGCTTCAGATCGAGGAGAGCCAGGTCCCCAAGATGTGCCTGGATCTGTACAGAGAATACGGAACCACAATGGCCGGTCTGAAAGTATGCCCCAATACACTTTGATTGCCATCTTTCTCCTTCCAATTTCTATTAGCTTCGTATACACAGTCTTCAAACTAGAGATTATGCTTCTAAATTGTTTCATAATCCTATTACTGTGCCAGCTTATAGGCTACGATTTCGACTATGATGAGTTCCACGCCAGCGTGCACGGTAAGTTGCCATACGAGAAGCTGAAGCCGGACCCTGTCCTGAGGAGCCTGCTGCTTTCGATGCCACAGAGGAAAATCGTAAGCTCATCATTCCCTGCATCAAAATCCTTCTGATATTTCTTGCTGCATCAGAAAGGGGTCGGCGACAGTTAATTGCTGCATCTGTTTTCCAGCACCGAAAAATTGCTGCGGCAGTGACAGTTTCTTGTCCCACCCACTGCAGATATTCACCAACTCTGACGAGGCTCACGCGGCGACCGTCCTGGAGAAGATGGGGCTGGAGGGATGCTTCGAGGGGATCATATGCTTCGAGACCCTGAACCAGAAGAACCCAGGCGACACGAGCGCCGGCGATGGCTCCGGCAAGAGGGTCCTGTGCAAGCCGTCCCTGGAGTCCATGGAAGCCGTGGTGGAGATCGCCAAGCTCGACCCCAAGAAGACAGTAAGCAGCACGCAGCTCAACCATGGATTCCCTCGTCGGCTCTCATCACCGCACAACTGCAAAGCTGCGGCTGCAATGGCCGCCGCTCAGTTTACCAGCAGTAGCTGACGAAACTGCCTTTGGTGTGCAGGTGTTCTTCGACGACAGCCCGCGCAACATCGCCTCGGGGAAAGCGGCAGGCTTCCATACCGTCATCGTAAGCTCTCACAGTCGCTGCATTAATCCCCACGCCATTGGAGTACCTGTCAGAAGTTGAGCGAACAAAGGGTCTGAAACGATTGTGCAGGTTGGGAGCTCGGCGCTCGTGGCCGGGGCGGACGTGGCGCTGGAGAGCATCCACAACATCAGGGAGGCGCTGCCGGAGCTCTGGGAGGCGGGCGGCGACCACGCCGTCGACATCCGGTCCGCCGCCGTCGCGGAGACCACGGTGCTCGCGTGAGCCGCCGGCGCTGCCTGCCGGATGATTAATATGCTTCGTCCGCCTTGTCTATATTAACAGGGGAAAAGGGGGAAGCGAACGGCTGAATCGAGGGAAAACCCGTATATGATGTGGTGTACTCGACCATGATCCATGGTGATGACTGATGAATGCGTAGGCGTTGCATGTACAGGTGTGCTACTTGTGAACTGATATGATCGGAACACCGTAATAATAAGCACCGTAAATCCGTAAAGATTTGCTCATTCAGATGGAAGCACTGGAAAAATTGCACGTGCCATCTGATATTTCTCTTTTTGTGAAAAAGATTCAGATATATTATACAAGTTCATTTTGTTGCACGAAGTACCTCAAACATAACCGAAGTTATATTGTAGAGGTTTGTTGTTGAGCAGCGGAGGTGCTGCGAGCCGCAGCTTTGTTGTGGCGGCAACGAACAAACTGCAATGACTATTTTCTGGGTCCGAAAGGGTATCAAAGCGAATCAAATGGGCTGCTCATTGACTTTGCGCGTTACTTTTCAAAAAAAATGCAAATATGTTTTTAATAAAATATATTTCTATTTCTAAACATGAAAATGTTCATGTATCTACGGGAAATGCCATCACCTGCTTTGTAGATAAAGTATCAACCAGCACAAAGGAACCATACAAACACACACCAATACCACTCCAAAACTACTGTGCGGACGACAGTTTGCCCGCACGAACTAAGGACGACGGATGATTGACGGTGCATCCAGTTTTTGCTCTGCGTACGTACGGTCGGATGTGCTGCATCGTCCAAAGATCGTCCAATCTTGTCGTGTGTATAGCAGCGCTCATACCACTCGCATACCAACTATACAATAGAAGCTCACACCGGCGAACATGAAACTAAAAACATGAACAAAGCAAAGTTAAATGAAGCACTAAATCAAAGGAGCTCGCTTTATCCTAGCAATGAGCACATGCTTCCCGAAGCCTTCTGTGATCGGGGAAGGTCATTTAAAAACACTAGATCGGCCCATTTTTGTTGAAGAAAAAAAGTGTGCCACGGCATCACTGATCAATCAAGCCACCGCTCGCTTGGCACACTCCAATAGCTGAGCCCCAAAATGTAGGAAGATGCCATTAGCTTGAAGAAGGGGTCCAAATGACGGCACTTGCAAGGAATACGTCGTCGTCATCTCCGCCTCACCATGGTCAAGCACAACATTTACCGGCACCCCACTAGCCAAACCTCGAGCCCCTCAATGGCAACCAACAATCACACCAATTCACCTTGGCTAAAGGAGACCACCGGCAGCCTGCTCGCACGAACTGATCCTGGCAACCCCCTGGTCCTACAGGGGAAAAAGAGGAGGCGAACGGCTGAATCCAGGAAAAAAACGTATGTGCAATGGTTTACTCGCCCATTATCCATGGCGATGACCGATGAATGCGTAGGTGTTGAACGTACAGGTGTACTACTTGTGTACTGATGTGATCGAAACACCGTAATAATAACCACCATAAATCCGTTGATGGAAGCAATGGAAAAATTGCACGTGCCATGTGATATTTTGTGTATCCTTTCTTTTCTTTTGAAAAAAGATCAAGTCTATTATAAAAATTCATTAAAATAGTACAAAATACCTCAAACATAATAGAAATTACACATGTCCTTGTTATAGAGAAAAGGAACACTGGACAGGGACCTCGAATTGGTAAAGGTTCGTTGTTGCACAGAGGAGGTGCTACGAGCCGCAGCTTCGTAGTGGCTGCAACGAACAGATGGCGATGACTAATTTCTGCATCCGGAAGGGTATTAAAGCGGAATCAAGATGGCTGGTCATTGACGTTGCCTGTTAATTTATACTCCCTCCGTCCCATAATGTAAGTTTTTTTTTGACACTAGTATTTTCTGTAAATATGTCTCTAGACAAAATATATTTCTACTTATAAACATGATCTGAGTATAAACATTCGTATAAGATGAAATGTTAATCTCACGTTTTTAAAAATATTTTACATGTGAAAAATAGAAATCAGTTCATATGTTTGAGAAAAAAATGTTCCTTCGTGTCTTTAAATAAATGTTCATGCATTTGACCAAACGAGTAAAAGAGAAAAGAAACAACAACAGGAAAAGTAACCACGATCCCTGTTGGGCCACTCCATAAAAGTAACCACTATGCCCCCTGCTGTTGTTGTTGGGCTCGAATGGCCCGTGAAAGCCTAATAGATAGATAGATCTCGGGAGTTTCTCTCTCTCAAAAAAAAAAGATAGATAGATCTCGGGAGGGAATATTCCCTTATCTTGCGCTCTTTGTAGTACCCCTCACGCATCCCCCTCCTCCAGCCCTGATAAAACGGGATCGCATTTTCTCTCGGAAAAATAAACTCCACACAGATCGGAAACCTCACCGCACGCCACAGCCTTCCCCGCCCGCCCCATCCGCCACCGTCGCCATGGGCAGAGGCCGAGGAGGCCGCAACCGCAAGCCCCGCAACTCCGCCACCTTCCGCCTCTGCCCGCGCCCCGGCGCCGCCGACCCCTCCGACCGCGTCCTCGTCCGCGTCGACGGCAACCAGTACCACGTCCCCGGCCTCGACGACGACGACGACGCCTGCTACTTCGAGGGCGCCTTAGGGGACGACGGCGCCGAGCCCTCGTCCTCCCCATCTGGGGCCGCCCTCCCCGACCACGTCCGCCGCGCGATCCTCGAGCTCGGCCTCCCCGACGACGGCTACAACTACCTCGCCCACATCCGCGAGATCCGCCCCTCATACTCCTCCACCGGGGGCGGGGGCTCGTCCGCCGTGTTCCTCCCCACCCGCCGCGCCGCGCGCTGCGGCCTCCCGCTGAGCGTCAAGGTCCTCCGATCTGTTTTTTCCCACTAGAGCATGCCGCGTAATTTCATCCTTAGCCTTCCAGGTGTCTAATCCTGGTATTGTTCTGTGCAGGCATACGACGCGCGTGGTGTTGATGTTGGTCTGGACAATGTCGCCGCAGCGGGAGCGCTGATTCCAGTGGAGGAGGCTATCGACCCGGATATCACCGACCTGCTTGAGGAGAGCGAGGTGCCACCGGAGACCTCGGAGGATGAGAATGAGGATGAGGAGAGCGAGGTGCCACCAGGGATCGTGGAAGATGACAATGAGGAGAGTGAGGGGCCATCGGAGACCTCGGAGAATGAGGATTCAGAGCTGGAGGACGATTTTGTTATCATTGCAAATCAGCCTGAGCAGGAAGACCAGATGGATCTTGAGGATGATTTTGTTATCCTTGCAAACCAGCCTGACGGCGAAGAGCAGATGGACATGATGGGCGGTAGGTTGGCGCGAGGCAGTTTCGCAGCTGCCTTATGGGCATGTTAAACTGGTGAGCTTGCTGCACCTAGCATTGTGTTTCTGGAAGGTGATCAATAATGTTGTAGTTCCTGCTATTAGCTGCAATTATACTAACTGACATCAGATATTACCATTTGTGCTTCCTGCCCTGAACATCAATATTGATGAACTGGGTGAGGTGAGGAACAGCTGTTAACACTACTAGGAGTTATGTTAGGAGCCTTTCATGAGGAAGTTCACTAAAGAGTTTTGGCAAAGACTAATCAGACTATCTCATCAAGTTTATGGCTCAAATGGCCATGGTAAATAAGGGTTGGAGCGTGAAGATGTTCGGATAGAGTAGTCGCTGGTTGATTTGTAGGTTGAGGAGTAAATGGATGAAAGCATGTAGCGAGTGGGCTGATTGTAAGCAACAAATTACGGGCAGCTTATGCCAGACGTTTAACCCAACTAGTAATTGTGTACGCGAAATGCACGTTAACATGAGGCAAAGATGTTAATTGTATTGCACATTAATATTAGGCAAAATATACTTAAATTGCATGTTAATAGGTGCTAGGCTATAATTACTTTATTAATGCTGATGTTTATACTATTAAGCATGATATTAATTAGTTGTGCTAAACACCATAGCGACGTAGACTGTTGGATAATTGCGGTTGAATGGGTGAGATTTTGTTGGATCTCCACAACTAGCTCTTTTTATATTGGTATATAGATATTTGCACATGAGCTTCCTTTTTTTTTTATAATGTTCTGCTGCGGCTTAAACAAACATCCTTCCAAGTTTCCAATCAACATCATGAACAATTCATGCACTTCACTATTACCCTTTTGGGCTTCAAAGTCTTATTTTTGTTTTGTAAACTATTGATGACCTGTCGACACAAATTTTTGCATCTTTGATACTGTTTCCCCACTGCCCTTTCAAGTAGCATACACTGTCTTATTTTCTTCCTGTTTGTTAACCAAAACGTCATGTTTCAAGCTGACTTATTTTCCACTCTCCAAATGACAGCTTGCTTTGGGAAAGAATGATGCGGTGAAGATGGCCGTGATAACCAAGGCTCAGAAAGCTTTTAGGGGTCCGTCCTTGTCGGCGCACCTTGTGTGCTGATTATTTATCTTATATATATTGTGTTGATAGTGAACTGTTTGTCATAGCAATTCGATTGTCAGTAGGAATAATATTGAACATTTGTGCCAAATGTCGCACGCACTAAGTTAGGTTTCCTTAGTAGATAAAAGTTATGGGTGATGTACGATATTCATCTTCTACTGTACCGCTCTCCCAAGATTATGTTTCAAAACTCGTAATTCAGGATGTACAAAGTTATCGTTGTCTCATTGTGCTATGCTTGAAGTTTTTTCAGTTTGTGTTGGTGCATGAATGCTCTTACTGTTGAATATTGAAGATACTTGCCACCTTGAAGAGCGAAAAGAATCCAAGGCCCTGTGACGAGAACAACGGTGTAGTTTCAGATGAGTGGTTCTTTTGAAAATCTCAATTGGCACTTTGGATTGATCAAATACTGACACTGATGTGAACAGCGAATTCTTTGACAACGAACGCCCCCTCCCTCCCTCTCGCTCTCCCTCATTTTGTCGTCGCAAAGTTAAACATTGCCCCTCCCCCGAGCTGGTGACCCAGGAGGAACCCTAGCCGCTAGCACTATCAGCCCTTCCCATCGGCCCTTTGGGGTGGGGCTCAATGCCCTTAGAGCATTACTAATAGAATCCTCAAACCCTCACTAGCGTTTTAAGGGTTCAAAAATGATCTTTTTGTGCACTTTTACGGGTTGAAAAACAGGGGCAAAGATTAGAACCCTCAAACCCAACTCTTATAACGGAATATTTCCCATGAACGACGTTGTTGTTGCGCGCGGGAGGTCGACGGGGCGGCCGCCAGCGACGGGGGCGACTAGCAGCGGCGGTCGCGGGCATGGGCTTGGGCGCGGGAGTTGGGAGGATTTTTCCCTCCCGCGCGAGGATAACCGCCAAATGAGGGTTGGGATAGGTTTTGCTCCCCAACCCTTACTTTTGAGAATTGGGAGAGGGTTTGAGGGTTGGACCTTTAAAAAAAATTGAGGGTTTGAGAGTTAAGGGGTTCTAGTCTACGGCTTTTTTTCGACGAAAACTGTAAAAAAGCAGTTATTTTTAGGGGTTTGAGGGTTTGAGGGCTTTACTAGACTTGCTCTTAGTTTGCACGGCAGGGTGACTTCCTGCTCCCCGCGGGTGGACTCTTTGCCGTGTAGGGGCGGGGTGGCAGCCCCACTTCCTGCTCTCATGGTGCTCAGTGATTTACTTGGTGGTGTGCCAGTGGTGAGTTGCCAGCTGGCTCACTGGTTCTTCCGGCCGACGATGAGGATGGTGGTGGCTTCTGTTTGTTCATGGCCGATGCCTTCGTGGGAGGTGTAGTGTTGGGCAGTGCTCCGAGTAAAAGCTTATCAGGCTCCCGTCGCACGACGGCGTCGGCGTCTGTGGACGTCGTTTCATGGTTGGGGGAGGCTACACGATAGGGCAACTTTTGGCGACTCCATGTCAGCGCTCCTAGTGGGTAGATGCTCCGGCGTCAGCCCGTCCCGGGTTGCGGCGGACTTCATGGGCTTCGGCAGAACGTCCTCTCGGCGTGCAGGGGCGAAGTGGCACCCCCCCCCCCCCTTGCTCTTATGGTGTTCGGTGATTTACTTGATTGTGTGGCAGTGGTGGATTGCCAGATCTGATCTGGCACGCTGGTTCTTTCGGGCAGCGACGAGGATGGTGTTGGATTCTGCTTGGTCATGGCACAATGGCTTCATGGGATGTGTGCGGGGCAAGTGGAGGTGCGGTGCGTGGGGATGTGGTGCTGGACGTTGCTCCGAGCGAAAGCTTGTCGGGCTCCTGCAGGCTGACCGCGTTGGTGTCAATGGACGTCAGTTCGCCTCCTTAGAGGCGCCGCCGTGGAGTCCACCCATGCACACCCTCGGATTCATCTCTTCGGGTGAAAGCCTAAGGTCTGGTTCGGTCGAGCTACGGCGACAGCATCGTCGTTTCGCTCTTTGGGGTGTCGCTTTGAAGAGCATTGGATCCCATATGCACACTCCATGTGTTGGACGCTCATGGCATTGTGGGCGACCGGTGTCCGTCCGGTGATGTGATGTTTTGCGTGGCTTCTTGTGTGGCGACGATGGCGGCTTCGGGCGGAGTTGGGTTGCACGTGCATTTTGGTAGTCGGTCTCATCCGGCGTGTCCGAGGGGTCGACGTGCCTCACTTTGTGTTCATGGAGTCCGAGCTGCTAAGGCGGGGCCATTGCGGCAACAAGGACGCGAAACAGGTGTGCGGTTCCAGCGTTGGCCTAGCGCTTTTCCCCTGCAATGCTCGTCGACAAAGTCAGAGTTGCCTAGTTACGGGCACGTGGGGTTGGCATCAACAGACGCAGGCCTCAGCGCCAGTTTGCGGTGAGGGCTACATCGGTGGTCGTTGATGGCAGAGTCGGAGTTGCCCTCGCGGAGGTGTGATGACGATGACACCGGATTGCTACCTTGAAGACACTTTTCTCCTCGATGGCGTGTGTGTCCTTTTGTGGGTTGTCGCCCTGAATGCTTTTTTTGTGGGCGTGATATGACGGTTTTGGCAGGTTCTTCGTTAATTAAGTTGACGACTCTTTTCTTCTTAAGAAATCCTGCCATTTCGGAAAAAAGAACATCGTCGGTATCTCGTTCCAACCACGAACTCTATTGGGCCTGTTTGGATCCATGGTTTAGAGTTAGTTTGGACTCAACTAACCCAAAAAAAATCCAAATTGGAGGGTTAGTTTAGGTTAGATGTATCTAACCCATCCAAAAATAACTAACTCACCCAAAATGTGCTTATTTGGGTTAGTTCTTCTCGGGACCACTAAAAAAATACTTTTTATCTCACTCTCCCCGCAGATCCCTTCCCACTTGCTTGAAGCTTCTCGTCCTCTCCCTCCCCCCCTCTCGCACCGCCCGTGAAGGCGCCTTACCGTATTCGCGCTCCATCTAACCCTGCCATCCAAACGCCTTTTTGATTAGAGTTAGTTCAGGGTTAGAATCTAACTTTAATCTCTAACTGAGTTAAAGTATCCAAACAGGGCCATTGTTCCTATGTTCTGAGTGCATGAGATGGATGCAATGGCACATGTACTTGCTGATGATTAGTACTTAGTGGTAGTACTTTTCTACAGTGTTGAGGTAAAGGTGCTGTCACTTTTTACCTAGCGGCAATCATTCGGTTAAGGTTCATGTTCTGCATTTGGATGACATCCAATAATGTCCTCATCATCTGGTGAAGATGACTAGATGAGATGGCACTGTTCCGGGGACACATCTATTGCCATGATTTTCTCCGCTTTATAATGTGTCGGTACTGCTGCTTTGTCATCCATCGCATGAGCTTTGGATGGTACAAAATCACACAAGTCACCGGCTCCATCTTCAGAAATTGTGGGGCTCTGGCTTTCAGATCTAGTTAGGCTACACTTGGTTAGAGAGCCCTCGTACCCACACAGATTTAGGAGTTCTTCAACAGTGGTGCGCAGGTAATGGCAAAGTACTGAATGTACAAAAAACAAAAGAAGATTATTTTCTGCCATTTCAGTGCTACGTGCATGTCCGATCGGTAAAACCGGCGTGGATCTAACGAGCTCGAGTTCGCGGAGAGTTTTTACAACCATGGACCGAAGTTTACCATATGAGGGCAAGCAGACGTGAGCTGAGAACAGTAAAAGCGTGGTGTTCTAGGGGGGGCAGAAGGATGTGGAATGAATTGACACAGCAGCCAGTGGGTGACATAGTTTTCCTCTTTACACAATCACGTATATCATCATTACCCCAGAAGGACCAATGGAACTATACACTGAGATTTCCTCCAATGGAAAAGCACACCTTTCATACAACCAACCAACCCTCGGCCTACTTTTACCTTTTGATGAAGAAGGCGAGCACAACTTTTCACTAACCGGATCCGCATCATTACATCCTACGGCACGCAACAGGGACCCTCTCTCGTGGTCATCAAGTCCAGGAACCCTAAATATTCATCAACAAGTTTAGCAATGTCAGGCATAACGACGACCAATGGCAGACACAACGATGCATTTCTTCATACCCCAGGAGAAAAATGGAGGAAGAGGATGGGAGGGGGGTCTTACATGCTCTACGACGAACAGCACCACCTCCCGCTGCTGTTCGTGTCGCTGGGGGCGTCGCTCTGCAGCACCACGGCTTTCCCGTTGCTTAGCGACTGCAGCTCGCTTTTCTTCTGCTCTTGAGATTGGAACACCTTCCTGCTTAGTATGCTGTAGATCTCCTTGACCACGGTTTGGAAAGCTGCTGTGACGTTCGACGAGTCCATCGCTGAGGTTTCCATGAAGAAGAGGCCCTGCGCCTCAGCCAGGGCTTTGCCTTCCGCGGTGCTCACCTCCCGCGCATGCTTGAGGTCGGTCTTGTTGCCAATCAGAATTGTGACGACATTCATGTCCGAATGAGCTGTTTGGAGGTTAAAAGGAATCAAACAAAGATGATAAAGCTAACAACAAATCAAACCAGACTGTAACCAATCTATGTTGCTAGGGGCATGCAATAGCAAGACAACCAACTAGCTCAAGACATGAGCTACCTATATGTCTACGTTTTGACCTGCTCTAACTGTGTTTAGTTTTGCTTTGGTTCTCTTCTCTTTTGTTTTGGTTTTGGTTTGGCACTTGGCCATTTGTGCTTTGCACCTTGTTGGTGCCTGCTTCTTAATGCATAGCAGTTACTACGTACATAGGGCTTTGCACCTTGTAACATACATTATGATACTAGTTTGAGAAAGGAAAACAAGGTAAGTGTTGGCTCTCACCGTGCAGTTCATTAAGCCATCGGCCGACACTGTCAAATGTCTGGCGCCTGGTAATATCATAAACCAGAAGAGCTCCAACGGCTCCTCTGTAGTAGGCAGATGTGACTGCTCTGAAACGTTCTTGTCCTGCTGTGTCCCATATCTGAGCTTTAATTTCCTTTCCATCTATCACCAATTTCTGGGTCTGGAATTCCACTCCTATTGTGGATTTCGAATTTGGAAAGAACTCATTCCTAGCAAATCTGGCTAGCAAATTTGATTTGCCAACAGAAGAGTCACCAAGCAGAACAATTTTGAATAGATAATCCTGGCTTTGCTGCTCATCTCCACCATAAGCCATTCTGCGATAACTCTATAGAAGCAGCGACCTTTCTAGTGCTTCCCAAGATCACAGTAACCCTGTCAAGTTTAAACAATTATATACTGAATTAATATCATAATAAGATGGGTACATAATCAACACAAACGAGTTAAGTCACAGTAAAGGATGGAAAAATATCAATAGTGTTATGTAAGGACTAAAATTCATTGATAAAGCAAATAGTGCTGCAGCTGAGTATACATGATAAGAAACTGGTTTGCTTAAGTCACAATAAAGGACGAAAAAATACTACTCCCGATCCATATTACTTGTCGCTCACTTAGTACAACTTTAAGTCATTGATACAAGAAATAGTTCTACACCTGATTATACATGATAAGAAACTGCTGTCCTGTTCTGCTTCCCTATGCAGAATGACTTGAATCAGTTAAAAACTAAATGATCAGTCGATCACTGTGCAAACCTAAGCTTCATTGCTAAGTCACTGCTTCTATAGAGTTCATATCTTGCACATTATTTCCCTATGCAGAATGACCCTTTTCTTCCTTTCTCCCTAGTTCACATTCCCTCCCCCCTTCACACGCAAAGCCACACATACTGACCATTATCTCTCTTATTTCCAAGATATGAACACAAAGGATGCCATAGGCATATTCCTCCACTGTTTCATTAGTTAAATGACCACCACATCCTTCACTAACATATGCTTTACGGAACATACGGAGTACATGCTAAGATGAAACTTAGATTAGCTACAAACAAAACTGGTCCTGGAGAGACAAAACTTGTACCCAACGCAACAGCCAATGAGTTAGTACAGAGTTCCCAAGGCGTGACTTGGTTTGCTTTGAGAAAAAACCTCCCATTAACAAAGGCATTTTAGTTCTACTGTGCCAGGATTTCATTTCTATTTCATCTATAGTCTGTTGATGCCATCGTACTTTGGAACATTTTTTCCTGCCAATAGTTGCCTTGATAATACCAGGTGTAACAGAAAGCGTTGTGATAAGTCAATTTCCGGTACTGGTAGCGTCAAAGCTGGGCATTGCACTGTTTCTGTTTTTTGAAGGGTCCGAGGACCAGAAAGCACGCTACTATTATTAGGCAAAACCAACGGGCCTGAGGATTGACAAAACAAACAAACAGGGGCGCTGTGAGATCAGCTCATCAGGCATCAGCCGAAATGGCGAGCAGCTGGAAGGTCTGGCAAACAAATTTCCACAGAGACGATCCGTGACGACGTCGTGCTACAACCACCAGGGCTTCCGCCATATGACAAATTACGCGCATGAGACGGAACGGATCAGCAATGGTGTCCTGCCCCCGCCGTGCTCTCCAATTTGTGGGCAGAGAGAGGTCGCCTCGGAGCAGGGGCGGGCGGGCGGGCGGATCTAGACGGCGTGGCGGGCGCGCACCGGCGCACCCGGCCTAGCGGGAGGGGCCGGCTGATTTCGCGACGAAGAGAAGGGACGCTGCTGTACGGATGCAACCTAGCTGCTCGTACCTCGAGGGGAGGGCGGGGACCCAATGGCGGGCGACGGGGCGGAGCAGGACGTCCCGGCGGGGCGGGGAAGGGACGGCGACGGCGGCGGCGTCCCCGGGGCGGCGGCGGCGACGCCGAGGCACGGCACGGCGGCAGGTGTGGGCAGTAGATCCGCGAGAGTTTGGAAGGGGGGAAGGTGAGGAGGACTCGGGAGCGAGGGGGAGGTGGATGGGGAGGGGAGAGGGAGGAAAAAGAAGCGCCCCCGGGCTGATTTGCAGCTGGCCGTAAATTAATTCGCCGACAGTGCGGTTTCGTGGCCGTCTGATTCGGCGCGTCACGGGGCGCGCGCGTGGACGGCGGTGGACTCACCGGAGAGGGAGAAAATTTTATAGAGGGTGCCGTGGAGATCGTTTTGACCGTGGATGGCTGGAGAACGGTGCTTTCGACTCAAAATGACCTTTCTTTTTCATTTCATTTTCCCTCCATTCCTTTATATAAGGTGTGTTTGTTTTTTCAAAAGTCAAACAAGTGCGTGTTTGACAGAGTTTTTAGAAAGAAAAAATATCGATACTCGCAATATGCAATTTATATCATTTGATCCATCATGAAAAGTAGTTTCATATTTTATCTACTATTAGGTATTGCAAATGTTTTTATTTTATTCTATAATCTTGATCAAATTTTCAGATGGTTGACTTGCACGAAAATCAATACACCTTGTATTCTGGAACGGATGGATATTTTATTGACGGTGGGAGATTTTATTAACTTGGCCTCTACACCCAAGTAATTTAATTTTTTTTTACAAAAGCACCCATGTAACATTTTTTATTGTTATTTATGTGTAAAAATATTATGCTTCAAGCACACACAAAAAATCAAATCACCCTTGTTTTTCTGGTTGACATGGCGATGACCAAGCTTAAAATGGTTGACTAACTTAGATCATGAAAGCTTAAAATGAAAAGTGTTGCTTTGTTTATAACACGGAGCGGAAAACCATTTCCAGGTAATGGACATTACATAGAATAAAACATGCAAGCCTATATGTTGGATCAGATATTACAATATTTTTGTTGTGCACTTTTTGCGACCATTCAGAGCTATAACGAACAGAACAAGAGATTTTTCATGGTCAACTAAACCGGCAATCTTCGCTGGAGATCTAGTTACTAACTCCAGTGTGTCAAAGTAATGGAATCGCTCTCCTTGCATGTCGACATAAAAAGGTCCGCCAACAACCCTATATCTACTCTCTTTTTTTGGCTAAACACAACAACCTTATGTCTACTTGGTGTAGAACTTTTACTACTTGTTAGACTGTCACTAAGGACATCGTTGCTATGTTTCTCTAGACCATCTCAACCCAACCTTGCACTACGGAAGCTTTTACCGTGCAGGGGGCTCATTGTAGTTTGACATATTTATGCCATTTCACATTTGTCGTCATTCTTCTATGGTGTGTCTGTTTCGAGTTCCTGAAATAAGATTTTAAATAAAAATCTAAGGTAATAATTAACATGATGTATGTCGTGATTTGGTTTATCCGCGTCGTTATAAAATATAAACACCACATGTGTGTGATCCACCCGCACCGTTGTAAAATAAACACTGCACAACACAACCTTCTCTAATAACTTTCATTCCATAGACATGACTGATATTTTGGGCAGCGGGACAACATCAATTGAAAGTATCGGTAGCTCACCTGGAAGAGGATTTGTGGCACGCACGTGCGGGGGCACCGAGTCCCTCGCGCGTGCTCTTTCTTTGGCCTTTCGATTTTCAAACTTTCATAACTTCTAAATAAATGGTTCAAATTAAGTTATGTTTTCATATTCATGTTTCTCGTGACAAGGGCTTTCAAATAAAACTCATTTTGAATACATTTCTTAAAACTTAGTACAAAATTGTAAGCTTTAACGATTAAAACCTAAAATTTACTGTAGCCTCGTGCGAGATTCAACTACTTCATGAATCACGAGGCCATCGAGCAGCCGAGCAAAGGCTTGGTAGATGCATGCCCCTGCGAATTTCCGTGGCTCACTTCGATGTTCCATCTGGTTGGGAAGCAAGTGGAGCATTCCCATTTTCATCCTTCATCGTTGAGATAAGAGCTCGTCCTGTTGGTTTGTTGCGGCCCGGCAAACGGGCAGCAGCGCGGTACGACGGCCGTGCAAAAGCGTTTGCACCAACAAATGATGGACCATAAAACACCCTCACCCCGTCACCCGTTGTCTGTCCCAAGCTGAACAGCGACGTCGTGCTAGCGCCTATTAGCAGTGGGTGGACAGCGAGTAGAAAGTAGAGTAGTACTACTTGCAGACGGTAGGCAAGCGAGTAAATTACAGCTTGCGTTGCAGTAGTTTTCTTTTTCTTTTTCTTTTTGCATGTAATTGCAGTAGTAGTATTTATGATAGTAGGGTGCTCCCGGTGCTTCAAACTCGGTAGCACATTTTAAAATGTTCGAAAAATTCTGCAGCACATTGATACAACATCAACGTATGTTGCTAAAAATTCAAATCAAAATTCAAAACATTGCTTGAAATACCAAAAAATAATAAAATGGACATCGGTGTGATAATGGGCTTAATCTAAAGTCCAACTTATGTTGTGTAGTACTATTTAGTGCCGAATTTGTCATTTATGTTTCTCAAGCTATGTTTCGAATTTTGATTTCATATTTTTTGACAATATACTTTGATGTTGTGTCAATGTGCTGGAATTTTTTTCAAAATTTTTCGAAGATTTAAGAATATGCTACCGGATTTTGGAGCATCGGGAGCATCTTAGGGGTGGAAGTACCTGATATTTCCCCTTTATGACAGGCCACCTGCATCCATGTACAAAATCATTGAACCTCATGCCTCATTCATATGGCACGTAGTACTACGCAGGAATCTTTGTGATATGGGAGAGTACTATCACGTTACAAACGGAACGGACTAGCCTAGTCGAAGCAACACTGCTATACCAATACCAGTACTACCTCCGTCCTGATTCATGGGTCCTTATTATATTTTGTGTCAAATTTTGATCGTAAATTTAACTAACAGAATGTTCATGCATGTTACAAAAAACTATATCTTTGAAAACTATGTTCAAATACGAATTCAACAATATAATTTTTTTAACCTGCATTAACATTTTGTTAGTTAAATATTTGGTCAAAGTTTGGCACACATTACAAAAGGGACCAATAAACCAGAACGGAGGTAGTACTAAATAGTACTATATTACATTACTGTCTGTGTCGACCCTGCAAACAAAAACATAAGAGCAACTCCAACGAGGCGACCCATTTCGTCCGCCCACGTCCGTTTGGGTCGCCGCGGACAAAAACTCTAGCCCAACGCGTCGACCCATTCCCAAAATCCGTCCGCATCCTGTCCGCGCGGACCCATTTCCGGATTAAAATTGCGCCTGAAATGCATCGATGCGAACATGGCACGTGTCCCCTTAATGTTCGTCACGGTTCCACTTGTCAGCCGCCCCAACCACCACCCACATCTTATTAAATGTCAGCACCTACCTA